AATCCGAAATTATAAAAAAAAAAATATTATTATTATTTCTTATTTTATATTTTTTATTTTATATTATTTATAATTATATTTATTGTATTTTTTTCTTTTCTAATTTTATGGTTTATTTTTTATTGATTTATTCCGTCCTTTATTTTATTTTTTTTCTTAATTTTTATTTATGTTCGTTTTTCGTCCTTGAATTTTTATTCCTTATTTTCCCTCTTCCGTCCTCCATATCCCGTCCTCCCTCCTCCGTCCTTCGTCCCTAAATTCCGTCCTCGATTTTCCATCCTATTTTCCATCATTTATTTTCCATCCATAATATATCCTTCGCCTACAACGCTTCATCTTTTATCCTTTATTTTGTATTTTCTTTATATTCTCCATATTTCTATATATATTTTCTTTTCTTCTATTATATTCCATCCATCCTTCGGCTTTTATCTTCCATCCTTTTCCCTTCGTCGTCTTCCATATAATTCATTTTTCTATATTCCGTCTCTCCGTCCACATTCTTTATCCTCCATTGCCCGTCTTTCGTCCTATATTCTCCTTTCTCCATACCCCGTAATTCGTTTTCCATCCGTTATCCTCCATATTAAAAAAAATATATATCCAATGCCTTTATATAAATCAATATATATTTTTACAGGGGTCGAAACAAACCTCAAAAAATCAAATAATTATTAAGAAATTACTAAACGATATAAATTTTACAAATATTTAAATTTATAAAAATAAAATATTTTTTTTTAAATAAAAATACAAAAAAAAAAAAATAATTTATTCCCTAAAAAAATTCACATAAATATTTCTAAAATTCCGTACGCACAATACCATCCCTTACCATAATACAAAAATAATTTAATATATAAACCGCGAACCATATTTATTTATATTTATTTAATTATATTATTATATACTTAATATATCCAATCGAGAAAATTAATACACCGCCTTTTTAAAGATAAATTACCATAGAACGCCGCATATTCAGAAAATCAGAAAAATTAGTGCAATTTAATATAAATTAGTATAAAACACTATATGCCATTAATTATATATATTATTTACTATTCGTTATTTTTTATAATTCTAAAATTAAAAATATTATATCTAAATAATTATTATTTCAAATTATTTTAATTTTATTAAAAAAATACGCATATTTCACCATAATTACAATCAAAGTAAAGCGACCAACCAAAAATACAAGTATAAAAACGAATACAATCCAAACAATATCCTTGGTCTCAAATACGCAGGGTTATTACGACCCCGATCACCCAACCAGTAACGACTACTATATATG